CTCCCTCTCCCTCTTTGCGCTTGCGCCTCTCAGATCCACGCATGGTGAGATCTTGCTCCGGCGCGTGAAACCTCCGAGCTGCTGCCAACGCTGCCATCGCACTAGCGGCCGTGTCCTGGCGAGCCGGAGATTTGCTGCCCACCCGTCCCCTTCTTCCCCTTCCTGCTGAGCCTCCGTCGTAGTTATTACGGATTTGGTGAGGCTCGAGAGTGTTTCGACCCTACTCCGCGCGCCTCTCTCGATGACGACCGCCGCCGCCGTTGAGGACGGGTCCTTCTAGTCGCTCTCCCTGTCGATGTCCCTCAATTGGATCCCCGGGTGGGGGGCTCTGTACTTCGCGAGCGGCAAAGAAAACATCTCCCTCTCGCTCCTCTCTCAACCCGAAACCCAATCCGGACCGACCCGATCCGACTCGACCCGTCTCTTGGGGTATATGATGAATAGGGTCTCGGGTCTAGTCGGGTCGGGTCAAACGCGACCCTATAGGTTTAGGATTGGGTCAGGTATCATGAAAATCCGACCCGACCCGATCCATTGACACCTCTAGCGGCGGTGATACTTGTGGTGAAGAAAGTGGAGAAGGTAGTGGTTGTGGTGTTGCGTTAAGGTTGTTGGTTGTGACGGAACAATTAACTATGGAAGTGGTACTTCGATACCCATCTCTTCCACGGATCCAAAAACATGGGAATTTGAAAAATGGCCTATTTCTTGCGAGTACCGATTGAAATATTTTGGCGAGTACCAATTGAAGTATTTTGAAATGAACTTGAATTGAAGAAGAAATTCTTTCCCATCGGCAGGAGAGAATTCAAGAATTCTCTGTTCTTTCTGCATCATAGCATAGCATAGCATGGAAGCCTTATCGGCCGATGCCATGAACTACCAATGACTCGAAAATCCGTGACACAGATGCGTGAAATGATTTTGTAAAATAGGTCGAGGAATAACGCTTCATGACCTTAGTTTGCTATGTGATTTATGAATATATTGTGAATTGAGTTATGGATAGACACCTTATCGGCTCGGAAGACCGATCATAGCAAACACGAGCTTAGACAATATCAAAGGGTTTTTGGATAGATGGGTTCGTTGGAACAAGCGGAATCACGAAATAACAAGTTTTTTTTGTAACGGATAACTTTTATGCTACGATTAGTATCTTTACATAGAAAACTGAGTTATATACTATTTCGTGAAACCAATAATCTCCCATTATGGTTAGTAACTGTGAATCTAATCCAAAAGTCGTTTTAACTTCCAAATTTTTTTACCCATAATTCCATAGGAATGCAAATATTATTAAGACAATCAGACGATTGACAATGTCACAATATCCCAATCCAAAAGTAGTCAAGATAAGAACAAAGAAAACCTAAAGAAAGATTTTTGATCTCCTTGCCTGGGAAGCTATGAAGCATGGTTGGGGATTGAGAATTCGGAAGAAAATTGTCCATAAAATCGTAAACTTACTTTAGGAAGTCTAATTCAGTCCTAAATTTTTTTTAATTTTGTCAATTTAGTCCCAAACCTTTTTTATGATTTGTCAATTTAGTTCTAAACCTTTTGACGAATATTCAAATAATAGGTTTAGGACAAAATCGGCAAATTTTCAAAAGGTTTAGCACTAAATTGGCAAATCGTTAAAATATTTATGGCTAAATTAACACAATTGAAAGGTTTATGACTGAATTGATTGCCGTACAATAAGTTTAGGACTTTTTGGATAATTATTCCGAGAAATCGGGGAAACGATCTCTATGAGCGCGCTCATTGATTTTGTTCTTCGCAAAATGATGGATAAAACCTACATAATTTGGGTTAAGCAACTCGATATACCAATCATTTTGAAAATGGATGCGACACACGACATGAAATTTGCAAAGTGAAAGGCGAGAAAGTTGGTTTCGCGAAAAATCAATAATTTGAAATTTTTTTTTCCTAACTTTGATCTTTATGTTGTTTGGAAAATTGAGTTAACAGAAAATATTTTAATCACCAACCAAAATGCTTGGCATAGGTTTTATCCATAATGAAAATAATTTTCATTAATTTATTTTTTTAAGCGACGAGAACAATCAAAATTAGGAAAGCATTTTCTGAATTGTTGATTTTCCGCGATTCCAATATCTTTACTAATGAACATTACGAAAATATTTTTCAGGAAAAATGATTCATGTTCCTATGTTGATTTCAAACATGTTTTTATTTATTTATTTATTTATAAATGGATCTATTGTTTACTCATTTTAGCTTGCCTCCTCTTTTTCCACCTCGTTTTCCTACATTTATATTTTGGATTCGACTCGATATTTATGAGAAATATACGATCGGAAGTAATTTTCGCCCCCTTTTTAAATAAGGATAACGAAAAATAATTCCCCTCGCTCCTCCTTTTTCCACCTCGTTTTTTCTCAACCCTCAACATTTCCTCCGCCCTCTAAAGCTCTTCTTAAAAAAAAAAAAAGCACACCGTAAAATCTCTCTAACACCTTCGAATCGAAATTTAATGAACATCTCTAATATTTATCGCTTTTTCTTAAATCGACTGAAATCTTTGAGAAATTTATGTTTATACCATATTTAATGTTCTCTTACTCTCTCTCTTTTTTTTTTTTTTTTTTTTTAATTTAATAAACATTTCTGATATTTATCTGATGTTTCACTTATTAATTTGATAAAAATCTGAACGCTAACCTGCCACCCCGCGTGAGGTGAACGCGCTTTGGCTTCCTTTATATATTCAAAGAAGAAGAGGCAAACTTCCCGTCCAAGAAACAGAACCAAAGGCTTCGTCTCCTTCGACATCTCTCTCTCTCTCTCTCTCTCTCGATCGATCGATCGAGATGGTCATGCATTCTCTTGTAGGTCGTGGATTGTTCTTTTTTCTGTCCGTATTGTTGGTTGGTGCTGAGAGGAACTGAAACTCTTGGGATTGCTTTACTACAGTGGACCTTGGTTTTTTTAGCAACGGATCTTCTTGCAAGAACGAGTTCTGATGCTTTGAGTTAACTTTGGTTAGGTTATTCAGTTCAGTGATTGATTGTCGGTATTTCTGTATAATAGCATGGGTATTAAGACAGCAAGGACTACTGCGGGTTGGCCGCAAAAATCAGCTGCTCACTATAATCAGCGTCCGACAGCACCGACAAGCTGCAAAGTTTGCAGTTACTGGTTAGAAGGGAGGTGCAACCGGAATCCCTGCAGGTTTTTGCACGATGCATCTCTTCCACGCAATGTTTACTATCGAGGTGCAAAGCAGTCGAGTTATATGCCTGAGAATTGCCATGGGAAGGGCCCTGAATCTAGCCCGGTGAATTCAGCGAGTTCAACTTCTGGAGAGAGAGGTGATTCGTCAAATGATAAAAACCCTCATAAGCCCGGAGAAAAAGTATGCCACTACTGGATGTCGGGCAACTGCGTGAAAGGCGATGCATGTCCTTTCTTGCATTCATGGTATTACGGTGTTGATTTTGCCATGCTGGCTAAGCTCGACGGGCATAAAAAGGTACTGTTTATAGATTGGTTTTTGCCTTTTGTGTTCTCTCTCGTATCCAAGACTATAGCTGCATAAAATTTTGTTGCATTGCTTGTTTTATTAAACTCCAATTTGTTTCCGTCCTGTAATAATTAAGATGTCGAAATATCATTGCCTGTCTGGCATAAAAGTAGGTCTGGACTCACCTGATGCTTTTTATGATAGGGTGTTTTTGGAATAGCACTTCCTTCTGGATCTACTAAGCTCTACTCCGGAAGCAAAGATGGAACAGCACGAATCTGGGACTGTCACACTGGTAAATGTGATCAAGTGATCAACCTTGGAGGAGAAATTGGGTGTTTTACTTGTGAAGGTCCTTGGGTGTTTATTGGCATGCCTAATACTATTAAGGTGAGTGGTTGGCTGGGTCTACTTTGTCCTTTGTTATTATTTGTTTTGGGCAATTCTTGAATCAGTGAGCTGCTGAGCTTTAATTCATTGCTTTCTCTTGTATCTCTTTTAGGCATGGAATATCCAGAATGGTGCTAGCTACGATATCAGTGGACCAGTTGGACAGGTCCATGCTATGGAAGTTTCTAAGACCATGCTTTTTGCTGGAGCCCAGGTAATCTATTATTAGAAAGAATTTAATGTCTATTTAGGTGGTTTATATGCTGGAATTTTGTCTAGTCTGTTTCTTTAGAATCTTGTTCCTTTGTGAATTAGCGGCATAAGTGATATAAAAGTTTGTGCTGAGTGTGAGAGTGGATTTTTGGTTTACACCTGAAATTTTTCTCTGCTTCTCTAAGTGTGGCCCACCTAGGTCAACATTCGTATGATCACGTACTGCCTCATTCTGTTGATACTTGTGATGAATTATATTGGCTTTCGATGATTATACTGAACGAACTTTGCTTCTAGGATGGCACTATCTTGGTGTGGAAAGGAGGTAGTGAGGCTGATCCTTTTCAGATGGCTGCGCCTCTCACGGGTCACACTCGGGGCGTTGTATCATTAACTATTGGGCGGGACCGGTTGTATTCAGGTTCCATCGACCGGACCATAAGGGTAAGCTGGTTTATCTTAGATGTCTCTCCCCCTGATTATATCTAGTCGTGTGTCCTGGGAAGGCATGACTTGGCCCTTGTAGTTCGTCTTGTTCTTTTGGATCACTTCGATTGGTTTGCTACGTCTCTCTGTATTTTTCTGCCCCGCTCCACCATAGTATCCTCCTGACCCCACCACATCTTTCTTTTTCTCTCCTCCGCAGGTGTGGGACTTGCACACTCTGGAGTGTGTTCAGGAACTTGTTGGACACACTGATGTGGTGATGTCACTTCTTTGCTGGGACGAGTACTTGATATCCTGTTCGTTGGATCAGACAGCTAAGGTCTGGGGGGTTCCCACTGAAGGAGGCAGCTTGGAAGTTGCCTATACACATCAGGAGGACCATGTATGTTGCTTGCTAAATTTTTTTTTTTGCACCTGTGTGGATTATGGTAATATGTGGTTGATGATCCTAGTACTATAGGAAAAAGTGTAGACTATAAGGGTGTAATTGTGTTTTCTTTTATTGACTGCAAATGTGCGAAGTGCATGGACCTGGTTTACAATCTTAGATCGCAGAGATGAGTCTTATTGCTTTTCGGTTTTATTTCCGCCACTAAAAATAACTATATGAATAATGTGGATTGAAGCTATTATAGCCATACTGTCAAGTACCTTCCATGTGCTTGCTCTATGTGGAGAAGACATGAATTTTTTTTCTTCCACCTGTCAGTGCTTTGTTAGTTTCTTACTGTGCTCCTAGTCTCACGGAAGTGACAGTAATATCATATGTTGATGTTACAAATATCATTTTGTCCTGCACAGGGTATTCTTGCACTGTCAGGGCTGATGGATGCACGGGGTAAGCCGGTCCTTCTCTGTGCATGCAATGACAACACTGTTCGCTTGTACGAGCTCCCATCGTAAGTCCAAATCATTTCTCTAATTGGTTTGACATCCTCGTCTCTCAGTGAAGACTGCTGTCTTCTTCTGCTTGGCTGACTTCGTGCATCGTACTCCAGGTTCACTGAAAGGGGCAAGATATTCTCAAGACGAGAAGTGAGGACTCTTCAGACAGCTCCCGGAGGCTTATTCTTCACGGGAGATGCTGCGGGGATGCTGACCGTTTGGAAATGGTTGGATTCTCCGAAGAGCCAAACAGAGCGTCTTCCTCATTCGATGGAGTCATGATAAGTAGGAGAGAGAATCAAGCTATTGACATTGGAGTTCAAATTTCACAAGGAAGATTGTGTCATCTATGCCCCGACCCAACTGGGATTGTGATTTAGAGCAATGAGCGGGATGGCTGTAACTACTACTGTCTGCGCCACAATCCCAGTTTTTGTGTAGACATTAATTTTTTGACAGCGATGGTTGGACTTGTAAATGATTCATCATTAGTAATTGATGTGCCTTTTGCTATTCAACTTGGGCACTTGGGCACTTGGGCAAATCCATCTGCTTTGTAGTAGACCATAAAAGTTGTCTAATGGAAACCCTTCTTCTTTTTGAGAGAGTTTACAGTGGAATTAAGGTCTTCATTTTCTCTGTACGATTGTTCAAGTTTTATTACTGAAAAAGCGAAATAAAATAGAAGCGCTAATAATAAATCATGAATAAACGGCACTTCAAAATTGTTGCATATTCTTCTCAGTCCGATGAAAACAAATTCACAATGCATAGGCTCACTACTGTATGGATGAAAATTGTTCAATGAGAAACTGATAAATGGACTTCGTAAGCTTATTACACTCCATGTACTTCTGGACGTGGAACAAAAACTGATACACTACATACTGCAATTCAAATGAATAGATTTTACAAATCAAAACTGATACACGGGACTTCATTAAAGCTTATGAAACTAATAATGAGCTCCATCTTCAACGGTATCAATCCAAACTAGGTCTGAGAGTCTCCCGATCCTGTCCACTGAGCAAGTATGACAGTAGATAAGCTCTGCAAAGCGATTTCAAAGAAATGCAGAAATGTGAAAATTTTGTGGAATTCACATAAGGAAAATAACTAGGTAACGTATTCTGATAATGTACTTTTACATGTATTTTCACGTATCTATTAGACTATTAGTATTATTTGGGGTTGTAACCCATTGGGGATAGAACAAACCAGACAAAAAATTTATGAATTGGACACAAACGGCTTGAAAGTTTAAATTTAAAAATTTGCTCAAGTTGAAAAAATTTAGAAAACAAGATTGTAATTATCAGCTTCTTCTTCACAAATTTAATTTTGTTTAAGTATAGAGTATGTCGATTTCCTTATTTAAGTGCTGTATTGTTTAAACGTCATTTTTGTTCAATCTTTTGAATTGCTAAATTAAAACTCGAGATCATCTCTTTTTGTCCATTAAGTAAATTTCACTTGAGTTTCTGTATTTAAAATATATATTGAACGACAAACTTATACATTAAACCTTATTGAGTTCTCTCTAATTTTGTTGAATAAATTTCAAATTACGTGTACTTTAAATCAATTTACATACACTTTTTATTTTTTGCTGAATGGATTTGCTTTAAAGGATGTTAGATATATTTAAATCAAGTGGATTTCAAGAGGACCCAAATTCGAATGAAATTTCAATATGCATGTTTCAAGTAAGTTAACTTGAACTTCTTTTTCCGATAAATTATTATTATTTAACTGTTATAGATAGAGAATATTCAATAACAATTTCATAACATAAGCTATCCTTCGAATTACATTAATATTATTTTAAATTGTGTACTATCACATGTTAAAATATATTATACTTCGAAATATACATCTTATTTATCCAACAAGATATACTTCTCCTTCTAACTAAATCTATAATTACTAAAATAAATTATGTATGACAATTAGGGGTGAGCATGGTCCGGGTTGGGCCGGTCCACCCCCTAATCCTAGGACCAACCCGCACAGTATTGGTCCTCAATTTTTGGGACCGAGGACCGACCCTATTGAGCCTAGGACCAAGGACCGGACCGATCCAATGAGTTCGGTCCGGTCCAGGGTCAACCCGGGACCAACCGATAATTTTTTTATTTCATTTTTTGTACCAGGTTTAACCCGGGACCAACCGACCCAATGGGTTCGGACCGGACCGAGCGCGGCGAGTGGCGAGCGGCAAAAGGCTAGCAGCGAGCGGGACGAGCACTTTCAATAACAAGATTGCAACCCACAAGATGCAAGGAAATTCACAGAAAGACCAGCATTTTCACGACCAAATCACTAGCAAATGTCAACAAAGGGAACATGCTGTTGAGGAAAACTCCTATTGATTTTGAAGTTGACAAAACCTTCCATGTTATTGTAAATCTGATACTTATTCTGAACTATTCTATTCCAGGAATGTATATATATATTATGGAAGCTCAGAAGGAAGTTTTTCAAACTTTACAAGCTGGTAAATACATTATTGAAGACCCACATAATCTAAGTTTTGAGATTCAGACGCTGAAATTATTCAGACGCGAGACGGAGAAATTTTCGAAGCGGATACGAAGCTGAAATTTTTCGAAGGCACGGCATACAGAAATTCTTCAGATGCGAGAACTCGTAACGAAAAACAACAACATGTCATCTTCCCCTCCTCCATGTTCTAGTGATTTTGATTCAATTATTGGTGTTATCTCATCATAGGATTTCTCTACTTCCATTGACATGTTAATAGATCACCTGCTCAAATCAAGCAACATGTCATTAACGGATAAAATTTAAGGTCATCAAGATTCAAAACTAAAGTTCGAAAACCCATCTAAACGACTCCGAAACGCAAAAAAACGACGTCGATCACGGCGTAGCCGTGACAAAACTTATCATGACGGGTAGGCTTGATGGGTCTTGTTAAGCCTTCCAACCAGGCTTGAAGGTGAAAAAACATCGAGACCATATAAGAGATCTCAAGCACTTGTTAACTGAATACTTCACACAAAAAAAAAAAGAAATTTACCAACATAGCAAACTTAATCGAACATAAAATACCAAGAATTACAATTCTAGAACACCAGCAGCTTGAACATACTAGTGACCGGTAAAAGAAAGCATCTTTTTGGGCATGGATGTTCCAAAATTTTGCCCTAAAGTTCTACCATCATGTTAACAAAAGTATAAAACTGAGAATCACTCGTGAGATAGGAGAGCATGGCTCATAATCAAGGCAAGCATTTATAAAACTGTACAAGTACCATAATGTTTTTCTTTTTATTCAGCAAGCTTGATGCAATTTAGCAGTTGCTATTGTACACCAAACCAAACTTTCAGAAGGGTTCAAAACAAACCTACAAGATGCAAATCACCAAAAGAATATCGGCGTAAGAACAAGCTAATCTCACTTGTGTTCTCTGTTCGATTCTCTGGTCTTTTTTTCTACTGTCGGGATTTATTCAGCAAGTCCAAGAAGAAGATCTCTTAATCAGTGGCTTCATCTGCTTGTCCTCTTCCAGGGAAATCATTCCCTAGTGCGAAAGATCCTCCAGCATCATCTTCGCTACCAAATATCCTGCTATAGACCATGTTTGGTACTTTCTTGCTTGCTTGCCAACATATCTACCCGTTTTACCATCATAAAACAGAGATGCTATCGAAGACCCATCTAAGTGCATCATTTTGTAAATGATTTTTAATGGGTAGTTTCTCCAACTAAACTACCCATTTACAACCCACTACCCAGAGCAGCAAATGCAGAGGAAAAATTGGCGAATTTGACCAACCCATGTCGAGAATCGCACGAAACAGAGACGCTACTGAAGCACCGAAACATGCGAAAGAGGAATTCACACGAAATAGAGATGCGACTGAAACACGCGAAAGAGGAATTCATGCAGCATAACATCCAAAGCCCAGCAAAGTGCGCGGGTTTCTTCGCACACGTACACCCCCACATTCAGGCGAAACGAAGCCACACCCCGCAGAAAATCGAGAGAGCAGCAAATGCAAAGGACAACCGGCTAGAGAGAGATAGCGAGAGAGCAGACCTGGCAGTCGCAGTGGAAGAGACGGAGACGGAGACTGGGCGATGGAGACGGAGACGGTGAGAGTCGGAGAGGAGAGAGTATCGGAGATTGAAACTTGAGAGGCGTCGACCAAGAGTGATTGAGTGAGCTTGTGTTGTGACTTGTGAGAGAGTATCCTGATTTAGGGTTTTAAATTTTTTAAATTAAAAATTAAAAATTAAAAATATTATATTATATATATTATACCGGTCCGGTCCGGGTGGGCGGGTGGGCGGTTCCACACCCGGAACCGGGAACCGGACCGGTACCCACCGGTTCCAAAAAATTGGAACCGGGAACCGGACCGAAACCCTTAGAACCCACCGGTCCTGGTCCGGTTCCGGGCGGTCCTGGGCGGGTTGGGCGGGTATCGGGTTTTTTGCACACCCCTAATGACAATATACTTATATACCATATTGTCAAATTTAAAATTAATTAGAGATAAAAATCGAAAAAGATAAACCTCTCAAAAGGATAATGATAGTACTTTTCAAAATAACTTGTTTCTTTTTAATTTTTTTTTTCAAGTTTAAAAACAACGAGAGAAAAAAAGTTGAAAGAGATAAATACAGGAGAATATACTTGAGATGCTTACTTTTTAACAATTTTGTTATTTGAAATTCAAACTCAATCAAAGAAAAAAGTCCGGAGAAAACAAATCAATAAACCGAAGTTTATTGG